CCCTTATGTTTCAGTAGGTTTTCAATTCAGTGTATCTCAAAGTATTTTCTGATTGCTTTTGTAATTTGTTTTTTGACCATTGCTGCTCAGTAGTGTGCTGTTTAAATTCCTCACAACTGTTAAGTTCCCCAGTTTCCTCCTGTTGTTGATTGCTAATTTTATTTCCTTGTGACTAAGAAGTATACTTTGTATGATTTCAGTTCTTCTAAACATATTGAGCCCTGCTTTATGGAATAGCAGATTGTCCATCCTAGAGAATACCCACAAGCTCTTCTGTTGTTTATAGAGTATTCTATAGATGTTTGTTGGGTCTGGTTGGTTTATATTACTCAAGTTTTCTGTTTCTTATCGCCTGTAATCCAAGTACTAGGAAGGCTGAGGCAGGAGGACTGCTGTGAGTTCCAGGACAGCCTGGGCTACATAGTAAGTTCAAGACCAGCCTGCACTATATAGCAAGACCCTGTCTCAAAAAACATAACAAAGCAAAGCAAAACACAAATAATCAAGTTCTCTGTTTTCTTGGTCACGTATGTAGTTGTCCTATGCGTTCCTGAAAGTGGTTAACTGAACATGGTGGTACATTTCTGTAGTCCCAGCACTCAGAAGGCAGAGGCAGGAAGATTGCTATGAGTTTGAGGCCAGTCTGAGTTACACAGTGAGTTTGAGACCAGCCTGAACTACATAGCAAGACACCATCTCAAAAATAAAAAAAGAAGAAAGAAGTGAGTAATTATTGGGAAGTCCCTAATTATTATTGCTAAATTGTCTAGTTCTCTCTTCAGTCATAACCGTTGTGTTCCATATGTTTTGGGGCCTTTTTGTTTCACCTAATTTTTACATTAAAACAAGACTTGGACTATACTATGATTGAAAATAACTGATGTTTATTAAAACACTGTGGCTGAGCATGGTGCTGTATGCTTGATCCAGCCACACGCTGAAGCAATTTTTTAATTGGAGTAATTTCTTTTGTGTAATGTTCTTTTGTGTGATTTTTCTAAGACACTTATTTACACAAAAAGCATAATTTAGCCAGATTTGATGGCACACAGCTATAATCCCAAGACTCTGGAGGCTGAGGCAGGAAGATTCCAAATTTGAACCCAGCTTAGGCAATTTAGCAATTTAGAGATGCTGTTTTAAAACTTTTTTGTAAGGGGCTGGAAATGTAGTTCAGTTCAAAGGCTGTGTAGTTCAGTTTGATCCTCAATATTTCAGTAAAAAATAAATAGAATTAATGGGAACTTTCTTTGGCTTTTTGTTCATCTTTGTGTGGAGGGGAACAGGATTTCACTGTGTAGTTAGGACTGACTTTGAACTCACTTTGTAGCTCAGGCTAACCTTAAATTTGTGATCTTCCTGCCTTAGCTAGCTGAGTCCTGGGATTATAGATTTGTATCATCATGCTTGGTTCCTGTTTTGTTTTGTTTAAAATAGGGGCTCAAGCCAGGTATGGTGGCACCCTTCTGTAATCTCAGCACTTGGGGAGGCTGAGGCGGGAGGAACCCTGAGTTTGAGACCAGCTGGGCTGGCCCAAGGCCAGTATAAACTGTGTAATGAGTCTCTGTCTCAAAGAAAAAAAAAAGGGTTCAATATGCCACTCAGACTGGATTCAACTCCTGGACTTATGCAATCCTCCCATTTCAGCCTCCTGAGTACCTGGGACTACAGGCACATTTGAACAGTGCTTGGTTTATTTTATTTGATATTGATAGAGTTTTCGGCATGGCTAGAAAGAAATATGGGGCTGGGGATTTAGCTCAGCAGCATAAGCGCCTGCCTTGCAAGCAGGCAGTCGTGAGTTCGATCCCTGGTACCGATAAAAAGGAAAAGACAAAAAAAGAAAAGAAAAGAAAAGAAATATGAAGTAACAGTGGCTTTTTATTCTAAGAATGTGGAGAGAGAACACCCCCACCACCACCACCACTGGAGTCTGGCTTTTCTCTCTGCTGGGCACCAGTGTGGGGGCATACATATAGCTTAGGTTTGGGGTGGTGCCTAAGGGGCATTACTGATGCACAAGTAGCCCATTGGAATTCATTTTGAGCCACAGGATAATTGCCTAGGGGTGGGGAAGGTGACCTCAAGATAGAGCCCCTTAAAAAACAAAAACAAAAACAAAAAAAAACCGATAGAGCCCCTTGGTTCCGCCTCCCAGCCTCCCACCATTGCAGATTCCCATTCACAGCAAAATCCTTTCAGATATTTGATTTTAGTTTTTCAGTACTGGAGATTGAACTCAGGCCTTCTCATTGACCTTCAGTGATAGCCCTTTTTATTTTTTGAGACAGGGTGTTACTAAATTATATAGGCCAGCCTTCAAGTCACAATCCTACTGCCTCAGGCTCTCAAATATCTGTGACTGCCAGCGTGTGCCAAGAAGCTTGGTTTAATTTAGGCTCAGTACGTCTCTGATCCTGAACAGGAGCCATAGAGTGCTGGCCTGGCTCCTGTGCCATGCCTGTAGGATATGTGGGCTAGGCAGAATCATCAGTGGTCAGGATTAGGGTTCAGTTTGAGGTTTGAGGCAGTTGTGGAGGTTCCGTGGTACAGGTGGGGGCACTGGGCAGGGAAGGGAAGGAAAAGCCCAAGCTGTGCCTGGGCCCAAATGAACCAGACCCAGCAAGGGTCTAGGCCACAATGGCTGGGAGTGTCAGGAAGTCACCAGTGTGTCTCCTCTCAGGCACTAAATAGATATGTGGAGAATTACCACCTCTTCTCATCCCCTGCAGGTGCAGAGAGGCTCCGAGCCACGGAAGGTGTGGTTTACCACCTTGTTTTCAGATATGGTTTCTCCTATGGAGAGACAGAGTTGTGGCAATTTCTCCTTCCATCTTCCTGGTGGGGAGGATTCCAAACTCCACTACATCCCTCCCTGGAAAGTTTCCCCAATAACCACCTACCCTCTTTCCCCACCCGGCCAAATCACCACCTGTTTCTGCAGCTCTACCTCCCCCACCCAGTGCGAAGACATATTCCTGACAGGGAGGGCTTGTGTTTCTCTCTGAGATAGCAGAGCCTCTAGACAACCAAAATGCTTAATGTTTAAAAAGGTAGCCTAAACCTCCGTGGAAGGCATTTGTTTGCTAAACTGAAGACCTAAAGGCATGAAGTTGTAACAGTGAAATGTCAATTGAAATTCCTGTGCAAATGTGGGACCCAGATGAGGCCCTCATGTTTGGAAGGCACAGGCTGACCTCTCTAGGCTGACCTCACTGTCCATCTAGCTGTTGGCCCGACCTGTTCCTTCTTTCTGGAAGCAGGTAGCAGCTTCCTGCTGCTGTGGCCACGAGGCTGTGCAACAGATGTGCAGTCAGACCTGCTTTTGACTCCCCCATTCTTCTTCATCCCAGTCACCACCCCTCCTGCCCAGGACTGTATTGTGGGTTGTTCAGTTTTTGTTTTTGACAGTCTAACTATGTAGTCCAGGATGGCCTTGAATTCCCAGCAATCTTTTTGCCTCAGCCTCCAGAGTGCTGGGATTTCAGAGTGCTGGGACTATGTAATAGGAAGTTCTCAACTGGATTCCTTGGGGAGGAGAAAGAGGCCTGGGAAGGAAAGATATGCAAGGTACAGAACACAAGAAGCACGAACACAAGAAGCATGACCTCTTACGTGTGTTGAACTCATGACCTCATGCTTGCCAGGCAAGCACTTAAACCACTGAGCTTAAATCCCCAGTCCCGACCTCTTACGTTTTGTAGTCTGGGCATGCTGGGTCTTCTTCCTTCCTTTTCCCAAATCTCTTGTACCCCTAACACTACCCACAGCCAAACTCAGGGATTGCCGCCTAAGACCAAGTATCCCCTCCCTTCAAACTGCTGGAAGGAACTGGGGGCAAGATGAAATAACAAGCTTTAAGATAAGAAGCAGGCAGGAGTGGGGTGTGTACTGGAGAGGGTGGGGTGTCAGCAGAAGCCCCACTGAGTCAAACAATGGCAGGAAAGGAAACCATTTTCCACAAGATTTTCTTCAGGGGTAGGTCTGAGCAGCCTCTTCTGGCAGGCGTGTTTGCATAGCTGTTCCCAGAACAGAAGGTAGTGTTTTCTCCAAACGTTTTTCAAAACATGTTGTGTGTATGTGTGAGACCCAAAACAGAGACAGAGGTGTGAGAAGGATCCAGATCTTAGAAGCCTGGAGCACCAGAGTTTAGATTCTTCTCTCTTCCCTTAAGGAACAGGTTTGAATTTCAGAAATGTTTCTTTCGTTGTTGTGAGGATTGGATTCAAGGGTCCCAGAGTGGAGAGAATTGAGAGGCCACTATAGTAGTCTAGGTCTGAGGAGGTCTGATGTGAGATAGTGGCTGGAGGATGGACAGGCCAGCATTAGCCTTGTACTTGGAGAGGAGAGAAGGACCTTCGAGTGTTCGCTAAGGAGAATCTGCAGAAGTCTTCTTACCTTGGTGCTCGCAGAGACAGAGCTTGGTTCAGAGACACTGTACTCAAATCTAGGGTAACCAAGGCAAAAACTCTTCTAGGAAACCCACATCTCACAGCTTGGCTAGAACTATGCTCACTCATATAGAGTTGGAAGGGAAACTGAGGCAGACTCCTAGGAAAACAGGGTCACAGAGTGGGAGTGTAGGCCCCAGACTTAGTGGGGCTGCTGAGCTCCAGCAACCTGGAGAATGGAGCTTTCCAGCTGCATTATCTCTCCTGCCTCTCAACACACACATGTAAACCCTAGGCCCAGGAGAAACCAGTGAGGAATTCTGGCTATGACATGCTTGCTACGAGTTCCAGGATCAGGCTCCCTAGGCCCAGATGTTCAGGGAGAGAGACAAACTTGGAATATACAAGACTGCTAGCAGGGAGGGGGACAGCACAAACCTGAAGGGACCTGGGAGCTTGGCACTGAAAGAATACTTTTTTTTTTTTTTTTTTTTTGTGGTACCAAGGTTGAACTCACAACCTTGCACTTGCCAGGCAGGCGCTTACGTCGCTGAGCCAAATCCCTGGCCAAGAATACTTATTTTTAAGCAAGAAAAACAAGAAACAGCATTCTAATAGTTACTTTTTATTGAGCACCTACTTTGTGCTAGGCACTTTACATACATCTGTGCTTGTAACTGTCACAATGACTTTGGAGGTAGACATTATACATATAGGAAACTGCTGGGTTATGCAACTTGTTCAAGGTCATATAGCTGAGTTGGCCCTAGAGATGGGCATCTGTAAGGGGCCCAATGCTTTCAAGAGACATTTTTCACAATGAGAAAATAAAAAGGTGGGCAAAGGGAAACATTCTCCAGGGAGTAGAGCACCTCTCAGAGCTGCTGAGGGAAGTTCAGCTCTACCCTGTTCCCCACTTCCTCCCTTCCCCAACTCAGTAGCAAAGTCAGGACAGACGCACTCTGGCTCAGGCTCATCTTAGGGAAAAGGCAGAGACGAAAGACCTTACCCTGTCTCCATGTTGGCAGGTGTTAGTGTGTGGTAGCCAAACACACCACTGCCAGAATAAGAACATTACTCACTTTGAGGCCATACCCCTGCCACATGTGCAGTGTGAGAAAGCCAAAGAATCTTAAAAGAGCTATTTATTTCCCATCCGAGTCCCAAAGAAACCACTTGGGTAAGGGCTAGCTCAACACTGGTAGCCTGGAATTTGTCCCCTTCCTCCTCCATCCAGGCTTATTTGACCTCAGAGATATGCTCATTCTATAGACTCAGGACTCATGGTGTGTGCCATTCTCACTACCCCTTCACACACACACACACACACACACACACACACGCACGCACGCACGCACGCACACATACACTCTTGAGTTAAGGCATCAAGTCTGGCCGGCATGGCCCTACAAGTCCAGTCCGTGGCCATCAGACTCATGGCTGTGTCCAGGTGCGTACACAGATGTTAGTCCAGTGTTAGGAGTCTTTTCCCAGGTAGGGAAACAGTGATAGCTCCAGGCTGAGCCCAGTCTTTCTGCTCCCCACAAGGGGATGCTTGCCTCTTCGTCCATTGGCCATTTCCCCAGATAGAGCAGGACCAGGGCAGCCACTGTTTAGGCATCTGCTGGGAGCTCGGGGCCTTGCTTCTAACGCCAGAAATGTATATTTTCTTTCTTTCTTTTTTTTTTGTCTTTTTTGTTTTTATCGATACCAGGGATCAAACTCACGACTGCCTGCTTGCAAGGCAGGCGCTTATGCCGCTGAGCTAAATCCCCAGCCCCATATTTTCTAAGGTGTGGCAAGGGACTATTTTGGGACTGTTTCCACCTTCAAAGGACAAAGATGGCCATGAAGGCGAGGACAGAGGAAGATGTTTCTCTTTGTGCTTTTAAAGCCAGACCATGTGTGTGTAACAGACAGAGAACCCACATTTCTCTCTTGCAAGTTCTCTGCCTCCACCATAGAGGAGGGTTTCTGCAGCCTGGAGTGAGTGGGGGAAAGGGACTGTCAGGATTGTGTGCTGGAGCCAGAGATTGTTTCAGGGTGCCTTCCTGGCTCCAGGACTCTAAGTCAGCACCCACGTTTTGGGAGGAACAGAGGTGGTGACTTCCTGGGGGTCAGGGTTTGGGGAGATTAAGCTCTGGAGCTGCGGCTGTGGGTTCCCAGACTTGGGCTGACTCAGGACACCCAGGTGAAGTAGGCCACCTCGTCCAGATCCACCGGGTAATCCGTGAGCAGCACAGGTGTCTTGTCGAAGAGCTCACCCTTGTAGCTGCGCCACTTGCCGGCGGGCAGGTAGACGTCGCGCTCCTGCTTGCCGGGCTCCAGCACCGGCGCCACGAGAAGCGTGTCCCCGATGAGGAACTGCGAGTCAATGCGGTGCGCGGTCTCGTCACCCGGCGCGATCCACCAAAGGGGGCGCACGATGGGGTCGCCGGTGTCTGTGATCTCACCCGCGAGCTCTAGCAGCAGCGGCGCCACCAGCGAAGCCCGCAGCGCTGCGAACTTGTGCGCGATGGCCACCACCTCGGCGCCGTACTGCCAGGGCGGGATGGAGAACTGCATGGCGGGCATAAAGGCAGCCACCTCTAGCCAGCGCACGTACAGCTCGCGCTCCGGCCCGTCCGGGCCGCCGGCCGTGCGCTCGGGCACCGCGTTGCCACCCACCATGTCCGGCAGGATGAAGGCGTAGCCCAGCATGCTGACGGTGAGCACGGCGGGGATGAGCGAGCGCAGCCCCAGGTCGTAGCCCCACACCGAGTCGCGGTCCACGAGGCGGAAGAAGCAGGAGATGTTCTGCGACTGGTAGCCCACGCGCACCTCGGCCCGCGAGTAGAAGGGCAGCGCCATCTCGGTGTAGCGCCGGCTCCAGACGCTGGGGTCGGGCAGTGGCCGGTAGGTGCTGAAGTCCCGCGGCAGGTAGCTGACCTCGCCCGCGTCGAACTTGAAGGACGCCACGCCGTAGCGCGCGCGCAGCCGCTGCAGATGGCTGTGGAACCAGTCGCGGGCCTCGGGGCGCGTGAAGTCCAGCACGGCGCCGATGCCGTTCCACCAGCGCACCAGCGCGGGCAGCCGGCCCGTGGGCTCGCGCACGAACAGCTCGCGCTCCACGCCCTCGCCGAAGCGCGAGGAGTTGTAGTTGACGAACGGGTGCACCCAGAGCGTGACGGAGAAGCCCGCGGCGCGCAGCCGGTCGAACATGTCGCTGGCATTGGGGAACTTGGCCTCGTCGAAGTCGAAGTCGCCGTAGGCAGGTGTGTACATGTCGTCGATTTCCAGGTGGCTGCTGTTGAAGTGGTGCTGGCGGATCTGCTGCGCGAAACGCAGCACCTTGTCCTGGTTCACGGCGCGCCCGTAGAGCGCCCACGTGGACCAGATGGGGTGCTGGAAGGCCTCGGGCGCCGGCACTCTGGACGGCTTGTTGAAATAACGCCTCACCATGTACTTGTGGATGGAGGTGACGTCGGAGCCCACGCACACCCGGTAGCTGAGCTCGGGCGCTGCAATGTGGCCGGCGGGCGGCTTATATGGAGTGTCATGGTAGCGTGCCTGGAGCCGCAGGGAGCGCTCTGTGCTGTTCCAGCCCAGGTGGAAGGGCACGGAATCGTTGACTTTGATGGCAGCTGCGCGCGACGACAGCCAGTAGCGCTCTAGGATGCCCCCGAAAGCGGCGTCGGAAGAGTAGACATCACTGGTGACGAACGGCTGCGGCTCCTGCTGGCCGTCCAGGCGGATGGGCCAGTGTTGCGTCCTCATCTCGGCGCCACCATACCAGTGCGCCGCAGCGTCGCCCAGGAACATGGTGTGCTCCACAGCGCGCCCCGGCGCCGTTTCCTCCCAGCGCACGCGGTAGCACATGACCGTGTCCTTGGGCCGCACGGTCTGGATGAAGAAGTGCAGTGGGCGCCCATCTGCAGTGCGCGAGCAGCCCAGCCTGGCGCCGTCGCGGCTGCAGGAGTCCAGGTCTAATGCCCCAGACCGGAAGGCCAGGCGGAAGACCTGCTCACCCTTCTGGTTGCGGATGGAGAAGCCGCCGCGATTGAGGTCCAGCAGCTCGGTACGCAGGCGCTCGGCTTTGCGGAGGGAGGCGCTGTAGTAGCACCAGGCCACTACCGCGGCCAGCACCAGTAGCAGCCCCAGCACCGCGGAGCCCAGCAGCGGTCTCAGTTCTTTGGAGGGCTTGGGCTTGGCGGGCGTGAAGTTGTCGGGCAGGAAGGTGTACATGGCTGAGACTGTGACGGCCTCAGGACTCTTCTGGTGGTGGCGAAGACGGCAGGGGAGGGCCTGGCTCTTTTCTTCAAGGTTCTGGGGCATCCGTCAATCCCCAGCTAAGGAAGGAGCAGGCAGTGGGGCCACCGTCCAACGCCATCTGAACCCGGCCTGAGTCTAAAAGGGAAGGAGAGGGGGAACTGAGCTTGTTGTTTCCTAGTATTTCCACCTGGATTTAGTCATTCATCACAAAGCCGTTTCTCTGCCCACCTTCTTTCTCTGTTCTGTGGGTCACTTACCTCCCTCTGCCACTCACCCACTGTCCTGCTACCTCTCCCTTCCCTTGGGCCCTGTCACTTCTTCCTTCTATTATTGCAATACTTTGCCAATGGCTTCCTTATCCCCAACTTTATTCCCTTCGATGGTGTTTATTAACTTTAACCATAGAGGTCGGTCTGAAAGTACTGTCTCTAGCTTTGAGAACTGCACAGTGAGTCCCATAATGAAATTCATAAGTGTAAACTTCTTTTTAGAAGTGTAAATGTTGCAATCAAAACTTAAGACATGATGTGGTCTCAGTTTCCTTTCTGATTCTGTTCCAGCTAGGCCTTGCCTGTGTCTGTCCAACCTAAATCCTTCAGGCCACCTGCCTCAGGAGATTTCATCCACCCAGCCTGAGGAGCCTTGCCTCCACCTACCAGCACCTACCAGCCCCGTAGGGATCAGATAGCCACATTTCCCACATAGATTCTCACAAACTATGTGCTAAACACCCATATATGGCAGGGAAACACAGTCTTGGGGGGAAGATATGTGTCTTAATCTGCTGTCCAAGGCTGTCCCCACCATTAGGGCAGAGTCCAACAAAGAAACAGCCCCAAGCCAGGTGCACACACAGGCAGACACCCCATTGGCTGGCCAGTTACCTAACTGCTCCAACTGAGCGGTGAGAAGAGCAGAGACAGGCAAACAGTAATTAGCCTCCTCCCAGATGCCAGTGTCTGTCTCTGTCTCCAATAACTTCAAGGAGAATCTGGAACTACTCAGGTTTTTTAACCCCTCCAGCTACCCAATGCAGAAAATATCCAGACTGATACAGAACCGAACTTTGATCCTACAGGACAGATACACAGTGTCTCCCATACCTCCCTCCCTAAGTTGCTCCCTCCACCTAACTCCCTAAACTTTCATTCCCTCCTGGTCTGGAACAACCTCTTCATCTCCTCTCAGTTTTCTTCCCCTTCTTGGAAAATGCAGGGACTGTAGTACCTTTTAGCTGGTACCCTCAAAGCTAAGCAGAGCCCAAAGGCCGCCTAGGAGTCCAGGCCAGATTTGTTGTGTATTCATTCATTCAAGACAACTGCGGTTCCATTCCAGGCAGCACCAAGGGAATAAAGGGAAAGGAGATTTAAATCTAAATAGGACAGAGACTCTCTCGTCTTTATCCTCATATTAAGTCAGACTTCTCTCATGACTCCTGGAGCATTAAGAGGCTACTTTGGCTGCCTGAACCCTTTCCCAACTTTTGGGTTCTGAGAATCTTAAATTGTAAGGATTCAAGGTGTTTTCTTTCTTTTTTTTTTTTTCTTGGTGCAAGGTATCAAAGTGAGGACACTTTCTAAACTACACCCCAGTCCTTTTTATTTTTTAAATTTTGAGACAGTATCTCCCTAAATTGCCTATGTAGGACTCAAACTCATATCCTCCTGCCTAAGCCCTTCCTCAGTGCTAGGGTTACAGGCATCCACCACCATGCTTGCATTCTTTAAATTTTATTTCCATTCTGTACAGCATGTTTTGGGAGATAGGAGATAATGGTCTGATCAGGCTGCCTGATCACCTTGGCAGAAAGAAGCTGTGTGGCTGAGATGAAGTGACAAACTTCCATTGCATGGGCCAGAGAATGGTGACATCTGTCTTTTCAAGGGCTTGTGCTCCAGACTGACCAGAAAGATCTCTCAGGGGCTTGAAAGGAGCTTTTTTGTTTTGCTTTTTGAATCAGAGTCTCACTATATAGTTAAGGCTGGCCTCAAACTCATGGTGATCTTCCTGCCTCTGCTTCCCGAGTGCTGGGACTACAGGTGTGCATCACCATGCCCTCTGAAAGGGGCAATTTTTATAGTGTGTGGTAGCAGGACTGTGGAGGAGGAACTCTGCAGTTCCGGTGTTAGCAGTGGTTAGAGACCTCTGTAATCTGCGCCTGTGGCCAACCACAGGCTAATGCTAGAACCTAGGGTCCTGCAGGCGGGCTTCTATGGGTCTGGTTTGCTAGCGCCTAGTTTGGTCTCAAGGGTGAGAGCTTAGCTCCGCTCCTCTAAAGAGGAAGTAATTCCAAATAGAGCCATTTGTTGGGCACGGCTCCTAGGCGGCGGGAAAAGGTGGTGGAAATGTCAAAGGCAACTCGATCTGGTCCATCGACCTCCCCTGCCCAGAGACTGGATCGAGTGACTGCGCCTACAGAGTCTGGAATACTTCCACACCCACCCTCAACGCCCCACTCGACAGCTACATTCTCCAGAGGAGCAGAGGAAGGTCAAAGGACCTGTCGCCTGCTGGGAACCCGGCCTGTGGAGGGGCCCAGGTATCCAGGGTCACTCCACCTACTGGTCTGTAGGAGCCAAAGTTCAGAATTATGTATCTTCAGCTGCTCAACCCCGCACACCCCAAGATCCTCCCGAAGGGGGCTCACTCACGGCAGGGACGACTTGGCAGAAGTGGGGATGAAGGGATCCTCCCGCAGGTCCCCTCTACGCGAGCCTGGTGTGATCTGCCACCGCGCGCATGGGGCGCTGCCCGGCCTGACACGGCCCCGCCCCTCCCCGGCTCCGCCCCCGGTAGCTCGGCCCCGCCCAGGCCGTCCACTGTCACCCCAGTCCCGCCCCTGGCGCCCCGCCCCTCCCCTCCCCCCACACCCTGGCGGGGACCTGAAGCCCCTCCCCTTTCCTCACCTCAGTCCCACTGCCCTAGGCCCTGCCCCTGACCATGCAGGACAGCCTCTAGCCAGATGCCTTTGGGTTCCTTTCCCCCCTGAAGACCCGCCCCGCTGGGCTAAGGCTCACCCTCCAGCGGCGGGTTTGATCCCAGGCCTGTTGGGAAATGTAGTTCTGGGGGAAGGAGCGGTTGCAGAATGTTGGGGTTCTTGCACCTCCCGGCTTGGGAAATGTATGAGCTGCAGCCAGCCACTGTTTTCTCACGTGGAAAAGAAGTGACGCGGTTCTGGGTTCAGCTCCCACTGCAGGAGAGGTCCCTGCATGTCAGGTGCCGCGGCCAGCGCGGGGAAGGAGTCAGACGAGAGACTGAAGACACAGGGAGACCAGTTGCTCAGGAGGCAAAAGGCGATTTATTAAAGGACTCCAGAGTTTTTATAGTGTTTCAAAACAAAGAGCAGTACAAGTCACTTCAGGACACTTTCTTGTGCATACAGCAAAGGTAAACATGTTCTTGGGCCCATGAGAAACTTCTATGTTGTGCAGCCCAGGAGGTAAACATGTTCCTGGGCCCATGAGAAACTTCTTTGCTTATGTTATGAAGATATTCCCAGGTTAATATCAGCGCGATGCTTTGTCTAGAAGGCTGAGGTTACTGCAGGATAAGGAACTGGTTGAGGTCCAGCTTCAGTGTGTGGTTTTCCACACCCATTCACTGCCGGACCCCTGGTTCCTGCTCCCAACACCTGCAATCAAGAGCCCTGGAGGCAGCTTACCATTCCAACCAGCCTGTGGTCTAAACTGACGACCCACTGGGCCAACCCAGCAGAGTCCAGGGTCTGGGACGGGAAGAGGTGATTTCAATCAGTGTTTTTACAACTCCCCGCCCCTGTCTAGTATTTATGGGTCCCACCCCTCCTCTTAGGGACAGTTTTTAGTCAGAAGAGAGCAGGGGAGAAATGAGCGAGCCGTCAAACCCCTTCCCAGGGACCAAGGATGATGGAAGCTGCCGAGATTTCACATTTTTAATGGAGAAAGCACTGAAGAACCCTAGAGATATCAGAACATCCTTGAGGGGCAAGATAATGGCTTTCACATCTGAAATTGGTCATGGGGCTTCCAGATTCCTTAGGCCTTGGGTAGGGGAGGACAAGGTTATCTGGACACAGAGACTTTTGGGAGACCCTAACAGAGACTCCGCGAGCAGGAAGCAAGGGTGTGGAAGGAATGGATGTGTGTCCTCTGAGAGGCATCTAAGTTTGGGGACACTCTGGGGCTGGGGCAATGTCAGCTAATGGGGTCTTTGTGGGGGTGGGAAACAGATGGACCTTTTGCAGAGTTAGGGGGATCCGATGGTTTCCCCCTATGGTGTGTGTGTATTTTGCAGGGGAGGACACTAGATGGACATACAGTCATTGCTGGATGTCAGAAAAGCACTCGAGGAAACAGAGAATCATGGGAGTCTGGAAGTTCAGGGCTGGGTGACTCTGAGTACCTGAGCCCTCACTTTCAGCTCCTCCTGGGAAAGGACACAGGAAGCACTGCTTTGGGAGAATTTATTGCTCTACCCCCTTAGCCTGGCCAGCCCAGGCTCTACCAGCAACAGTAGTTGGGATAGGTCTCAGACACAAACTCTGGGTGGACGATGTAGTTGTTTCTCTGGGGACCACCGGTCTTCTTGAAGTGACTTGTGTCCCATCTGCAGGAAGAGATGGGTCAGCCCTTATGGACTCATAACCGTCAAAGTGAACATCTACTCCAAATCTCAGGGCCAAACTTAGCTCAGCATTTTGTCACTAACATTGACCCCAGACTGGAGCACTGCCCAGCACGGACCTCTTGACCTTAGGTTAAACTGTTAAATTTCTGACACCCCCCACACACTCCCTAACTTGACTACTTACCCTTTACTGTGAGCCCTGGTTCCAACTCTTTGAATCTAAATCCACTGCTAACTGTAACCCTTCAGTCTTGACCTTTTCCTCTCCCTAGGGTCCCCCCATTCCTTTGCTGGTTTTGACTTCACAATGGCACTGGCGCCCCCTGGTGGCATTTTCTGTATATGCCTCACAGGGGACGCTTCCCAGCCCAAACCAGTCCCATCCCCCGCCATGATTGCTAAGGGCACAATTTCCAGTGTGCGTGTGCAAATGTGTGCGCGCGCACCAGACTTACCTAAGGTTCGGATATGGGCAGTATGACGGCGGGAGAGTTGTAACAGCACAGTGCATTCCGGGCCGGTGGTCGCAGGGTGATGCACTCCTGGGGAAGAAAGCAGTAGGCAGCGAGAGATACGGCCTTTTGATACCTTCCTGTCCCCACAGTTCAGACCAAGCGCCTGGAGGTGCTTCAGGTATGGATCTTACTGCTCCAAGATTCCCACTTTCTTCCCTTCAAGACCCCATGTGGCACCCCCTCCGGAAAGGTGCCCTAGATGTCCCCTTCTCTCAAGGCCTAATTTCTGCTGCCTAGGCAAACTGTGGAGCTCGCAGGATTCCAGACGGTGGCACCGCAGTCCGCTCAGGCCCTTTTCCACGACCCCTGCCCTTGGAGGGCTAAGATCGGATCTTGCACAATGGATCCGGTTCTCTTGGCTGGAAGAGGTGGAGGATTAGCATGGGAACTGGGCTCAGCACCGTATAAACTGCCATAGAATGGCTAGGTATATAATTCAGTGGCATAGCGCCTTGTCTGGCAAGCATGAGGTCCTCAGTTTGATTCTCAATACCAAAAAGAACAATAATAATAAAATACAATAAACTGTCATCCATTTAGGATTTCTCCCATGCCCGGCCTGTCTCATCTGCAGCCAAGTGAAGGACAAACGCTGCCCTCCTCCAGATGGAGCTCGGGGCTCAGCTTCCTCAATGGTGACGCTCAAGGGTTAGGTCTCCAGAGGGGTTCGGGGCCCTGACAAAGCCAAGGCTACTTTGGTAAAGTCACTGTTCTTCCGACTCATTCTGCCAGCAGTGATCTGGCTGTTTTTGAAACACAAGGCATTTTGCAGGCCAGAACCTTTGTCTCCAGGGGGACGGGTCCAGATAGAGGTCAGGGTTGGAGGGTAGGAAAGAGGGAGACTGGTATGTGGGGGTTTGAGTCCTCAAAAACCCTGTGCAGTAGGTCCTCCAGAGCACACATAAGGACCAGGTGGCTCTTGAGCCAAAACAGGGCCGGGGTCCCCGTTTTAGGCGATCACTTGTGTCTGGCTCCGGACATAGAGGGGCTCTTTGAGCCAGCAGATGTGGGGTGGAGTTTGGCCAGGGGCCTGGCACTGAATGCAGGGCAGGAATGGAAACTGGACGAGGAAAGCAGGGCGTGATGACGCACACCCGTAATCTTGGGGCTCTAGAGGCTGAGGCAGGAAGATTGCTGCAAGTTCGAGGCCAGCCTGGGCTACGCAGTGAGTTCCAGGCCGGCGTGAACCACATAGTGAGGCTCTGTCACAAACAAACCAACAAACCAAACAGCAACAACAGCAGCAACAACAAACACACGAAGGCGCACGGGGCGGGGTGCGGGGCGCGGGGCTCACGCGGGCGCGGGGGGTGGGGGGCGCACGGAGCGGCGGGTGCGGCAGCCAGATCCTGGCGAACCTTACAGTCGGCTGATCGGGGCACAGCGCCCGCAGGTGGCGGCGCTCGGCGCAGGGCGCGCCGGAGACGCAGTAGTCCATGCCGCGCAGGCAGTAGTGGCGGCCGGAGCAGGGGCTCTCGTAGCCCCGGAACGGCAGGCGGCCGGGCAGCGGGTCCACGCACCCGCAGCGGGGCGTGATCTGCGGCAGGGTCCGGTTCCGGGGCAGCGAGTTCAGCATGTTTGCCACCACGTCGCGCTCTGCGCCCGCGGGTCCGAGCCCAGGAGACCCGAGGGCAGTAACAGGTAGAAAGAGGCAGGGGCAGGGGGACACAGTTATGCCCGATCCAGCACCTCGCCCTACCCTGCTCCCCCACCCCCCCGCCGTACCCGGTCCTGGCCGCTGCCCCGCCGCCCCTTACCGTAAGCATTGAGGCGCTCCGGTTTAGGGGGGCACTCCAGGGTCATCCCGCGAACCGCCGTGTCCATCCCGGCGTCCTGGAAGTGGCACACATGCTACTTCAAGCTCTGGCAAGGAAACGTGGTTCCCAGCACACCCAGGCCGAGGTCCTTCCCGGTCCCTCAGCAGCGCCCGGTTCCTCCGGCTGGGTGTTGGGGAGTCGCTCAGCGACGCCTTTACCCGGCCCTTGGGGCGGGGCTGGCCGGGGAGGGCCAGGCAGATTTGTCCTGGGCCTGCGGTAACGCTTTTGCCTTAGATTTTACCCTTCTGTGTCTGGCTGGGCCTGGCTGTCTCTTAATAGGAGGCTTTCAATGTTGCTTGTGCATCAAAGTCATCAGGAGAACGTGTGAAAACTGATTTTTGAGGAAGTTCTACTTCAGAAATGTTCCATCAACCAGTAGACTACAGTAGTCAAGCACCTCTGGCCTCATGTCCTGTCACTTCCCTGCCCCCGGTCTGGTCTAGGGCAGGACTCCCTCTTACCCGCTCAGCAGTCTCCTGGGTTTGCTTCCTGCTGAGCAGCCTTGCTCTCCTGCTATATTTCCCTGCTCACATCACAAAGGATGAGTGGGCGGAGCAGGGAGACCAACGCTTGCCTCTTTGGCCAGCCTGGTGTCATTGGCCAGAGCAGAGAGACAGGGGCCTGTAGGCAAGCTTGGCGGAGGCAGGTGTGCATCCCAGAGTCTGGTCAGAGGCGGGGTCAGCCATAGTTTCACAGAAGGAGCAGAGCTGTGGGGCACAGTTCTTGAGAAGGGACTGGGAGATGGGGTGCTGTGTGTAGAGGGGGACCGGGAGTTTGTGGTGGGCAGAGCAGGTACCTTAGGCAGCCGAGGAAGGCAGGTGCTGTACTTGTTCCAGGAGGTGCTGTTGTAAGGTCCTGTCCTCCAAGTGCAGTACGGGTCACTTTCCAGGTAACTTGGGCAACATTTGTTTTCTTCACAGGGGCAGAGAGGTCAGACAATGTCACTCCTCATTCTGCCCAGGATCTGGGATGTTATGTGTTCCTCTCTGACCCTCAGCTCAAAGCAGGCTCTCACTAGCCTCCCTCATGGCATTCCCTGAGCCCAGCCTGGCCCCACGCTTGTCTTCAACATGAGACATAGCCCGAATAAAGCCCACCTGAATTGTTGAGTGAGGTGCAGATCTGTGGCTGATCACTTTTCATCCTGGTTCTGGCCAATCTGGGGCCTCCACTCAACTCATTCTTTCTGTTTCTCTGTCTTTCTGTCTCTCTATCTTCCACCTCCAGAATCTAAGTTTTGCTTATTTCACCTAAAAATCACTGCAATCTAGCCCATCTTTCATTCTCCCATGATCTCACAGTCTTATCTATGTGCTAAACCTCAGAGACTATACAGTTGTCTGATATTATAAGACAGTTGTTGTATTGTCCTATCCAAGAGTCAATATAATGTCTTGCTTAACAAAATGGACTCTGCAGATAGATTTCCTGTGTTTAATTTTCAGTTCTGCTAAGTAATAGCTATGTGATCTTGACCAAGTTAAATTTCCTGTCATAACCCCTCAACTTAAAAATATGATAATATTGCCATAAGGTGTTGTGAGGTTTAACAATAAAACACTTAGAACAATGCTTGGCACATAAAACACTATTATTAGCCTACTGGTCTCCTTGCCTTTTCTTTGAAATTGTACAATCCAACCTCAACATGCAAGCTGTGGTACTTTTTCTCAAGTGAAAATTTGACCAAGACATTTCTGTAGTTAAAACACTTTATCACAGCCCTGTCACCTAAGCCTGTCCTACAGGGCCCTTCACGGTCTTCTCCCCAGTGGCCTGAAACAACTCATGTGAGATACAGCATAAAAGAAGCACTAGAGAAGAGCAGGTGGGAAAGAGGAGAGAGTAGAATGCTGGGATTTATTCTGAGCTGGTGGCTTATACCACTGAGTTTGATGTGCTTGGATACATCTAGGCAGAGATGACTGTAATCAGATGACAGAGAGTGGAATTCTTTTTTCTTTTATTATTATTATTATTATTTTGATACCAGGGATTGAACTCAAGATCTTACACTTACCAGGCAGGCACTTGAGCTGCTGAGCTAAATCCCCAGCCCATATTTTTTAATTTTTTAAGTTAAGACAGGGTCTTGTAGTTCAGGCTCGTCTTGAACTCACTATGTAGCCCAGGCTAACCTGAAACTGATGGTGATTCTCCTGCCTCAGCCTCCCAAGTGCTGGGATTACAGGTGTCTGCCACCATGTCTGATGAGAATGGAATTCTGGTGTGAATTCAAGGGTACAAATAAAGACTTGGGGTTACAAGTAGTTAAAGTCATGAGCAAGTTAGATAAAATGGCCTTGGAAGAGCAAAGAAACAAGAGAAGCACCCCCAGAAACCTGTTTCCTCGGGGTGTAGATGCCCAAGACACCCAGCAAAGTCAGAGACTGGAAGAGCTGAGGAAGGCAGTAGTTTTAAGGTCAAGAGAGTGGGCAGACGAGTGAAATAGAGAACACGAGGCAGAGCTCAGAAGGCAGAGAGCCATGAGTTCTGTGAACATGGTGATCACAGCCACATACGCGCATGTAGTGTCTGTAGGAGGTGCAGGCTCCTGACTTCAGCTGGGAATGATCAACTCCCTCACCAAATATTTATGAAAACTGCACTTCAAAGGCTCTTCAGAGAAGGAGACACAACCGTAAATAAGACAATCTTCTGTTCTTCTGGAATGGACAGGAGACAGATCATAAGGAGCCAAGGAGCCAGGCCCAGTGGTGTACACGTGGAATCCCAGCCCTGGGTAACCTCCAGCAGGAGTGCCACAGTGAGCAGAAGGCCAGCCAGGGCTCCCTGGTGAGACCCTGATTCAACAAACAAAAGCCAAATCCGAACAACAAAAGAGCCAAGAAGAAGAACAACTTTCATAGAGCAAAGTAGGGGTGAGGAAGGAGAGATGATGCATACGGCCTGCACTTCAGAAATCTTGGCTGCAAAAGAAAGGAATGAGATAGAAATTTTGGCAGGAAGAAATAAAAAATGTTCCAGGTTGAAGATAAGATGTGTGGTTGGGCAAAGGGATGCAGGAGTGATGGAGTCAGCTAATGAAAAGAATTGCCTGGAGGCTGGGAAGAGACAGCATCTAGATGTACTTGGAGGGGTTTGTTTGGGGGGTTAATGTCTCCCCATCCATCCTGGGATGGAGATCGGAGCTCTTCCAGTGCTTTCCTCAGAGAGACCTCTCAAGTCAGGGACTTGGGCTTCCCGTGTCATCAGGACAGGTGGTTGGAAGTTGGACTGGACCGGGTATTGGTTAGGGGAAAGGCCTAGATCCAGTGGAGATAAAGTATATGAGGATCTAGGCAGACGAACTGGATTCAGATTAGAGGTTATTGTAGGGGTCACTGCTGAGTCAGACTAGGTGAGGGGTGAGACCCTACCTTCCTCTTGAGACAGCCAGTACTTCTCGGGCAAGTAGGGGTGGCCCGAGACGGAACTCTTATAGTTGTAGTCCTGTGTAGCACACCTGGCCATCTTCTGCAGCGCTTCAGGATCTGTGTGGCGCTTCATGGTTTGAGTCAGACCCTGAGCAAAGGGAGAGAGAAGTGGCTGCATGTGTAGGAACCCAGAGCCAGGGCCCTGCTGGACCCAGATCTAGTCCTTTTTGAGGAGGTCAGCCTGGTCCGAACTCTTCTGTACACCAGAGGGCCCAGAGGGGATTCTCCTGCCAGCTCTGGCTCCCCATTGGTCTTTTTTTAAAGACAGGGTCTTGCTTGGTAGTGCAGGCTGGCCTTGAGCGTACTATGTAGTCCAGGCTGGTTTCAAATTCATGGCAGTACTCTTGCCTCAACTTCCCAAGTGCTGGGATTACAGGTGGGTACTATCTGGGGGAAATTAATATTCTCTCCATCTCTCTTAGGATGGACCCGGTGGCGGTCTTCTTGTTTGAATCACACAGACGCACTCTGATACATACCCTTTTCCCATCTAAGGTTGGCGCTTAGGGCCAAGTTAGAGTGGTTTTCTGACTTTATTTCTGTTGTTTCCTGGCTGGGGAGAACTGCTGAAGGTCAGAGCTGAGGGATCCTTTCCTCTTTCTTCTGGATGACAAGCTGCCTGGGAGACTCCTCCAGTGAGGCTGGCAGGCCACTGGCATGGTCGAGAGCCTCGGAGAGGCCATCTTCCCAGAGAACTGGTTGCTTTATGCAGGTTTCCTGGACAGTGAGGGCTCTGGGAATCTGAGATCTTGAAGCAGATGAAGGATAGGCCTGGGGTATGTACTTTAAAATTTAATTTTTGTCTTTGACCTGATCCTGATTTTGCTGTAGCTCTGGCCCTGACATAAACTTTACCCTTGGCCCTGACCTTCATTTTGCTCTGGTCATTTGACATTGATTTTTTTTCCTATTCTTCTTCTTTTTTTTTTGTCTTTTTCATTTTTATTGGTACCGGGGATCGAACTCATGACTGCCTGCTTGCAAGGCAAGCGCTTATGCCGCTGAGCTAAACCCCCAACCCCATTTTTCCTATTCTTGGTCCAGGCCCTGTGCTCCTTTGCTTCTAGGGACTCACCTCAAGTCAGTCCATCACTGAGATCAAGGCTTCACTTTGGGGACCCCTTGTCCTCAGCTGAAGGCAGAATGTCAAATAGGGTACAGTATCTGCAGGAGCTGGGATCACCCACACTTTCCTCTTATTCTCTTAGGGGGAGAGGCTTCTTGGGGCCGAGGTGAATACTCCAGGCAACTGGAAAACCCTTCAGTTCAGAGACCAAGAGAATCATCTGTGCCCAGCGGGTCTTTCTGGACAGATCTGGTATACCCATATTCCTATGTGGGTGGGGGACAGCATACGGGACACATGGGTGACTTGGTACTTCCCTGAGCTTCACACACACACACACACACACACACACACACACACACCCTTGTATCCAGTTCACACTTAAGTAGATGTATATCCATACTGACCCCTCCAAGTATCCCTGCCTATATACTAAGCACTCAGAGACACACATACACACTCATAGAAATGATCATTTAGAGAACTCATAGATATCAATTTTTTTGTTAGAAGCTTTCCTCAGATGCCTGGAGTTTGCTTGTGTTCATGAGTAGGACACTGAAAAAGTAGGACTGCTTTTCTTTTCTTCTTTGTCTTTTTGAGACAAGGTCTCACTAAATTCAGGTTGGCCTTGAATTCACTTTATAACCCAGGCTGGTCTCAAACTCATAGTGATCCTCCTGCCTCATCCTCCAAGTGCTGGGATTACAGGCTGGTGTCACCACGCCCGGCTTTTTTTCTTTTCTTAAAGGTGGATCTCCTGAGTGGTAGAATTCTGAGTATGCTCCACCACACCTAGAATTTTGTTTTCATACTGGAGATTGAATCCAGGGCTTTCACACCGAGGTCACCCCAGCCGCTTTTAAAATTTTAGGACTAGGTCTCACAGAGTCAGTAAATTACCCAGGCTACACTCCAACATGTGATCCTCCTGCCTCAGCATTCCAGGATGCTGGGAGTACAAGCGTGTACCACCACACCTAACTAAAATTAACCAAGAGAGCTCTTTGATGACTTTGAATTACAGATAAAGCCGTCAATTATGCACATTATGGTGGGATGATGTGATTAGACTTTTTACAAACTCTAAGGTCAGTGTCCACATATTTTTCCTCGTGAGGCTCAGGTCCTCTACCAAAGGCTCTCAATTAGGTTTTCTGTAAAAGACTCTCTTCAGTCTTTGGCTTGAGGGTGATAACCAAGCTGCCCACGTTTGAGAATCTGTGTAGAGAGATTCTGTGTGTGGGAGTTTCAGCATTCAGTATGTGGAGGTTCTCCTGTTTTTAGTGTGTAACTTTCCCTGCACCTGTAGGGCAGTGGATCCCTCTAGTCCTGAGATCCTCAGCCCTGAGATCCGCGCCAGAAAATAAGCCTTGTGAATTTTGCAGACACAGAGGCAGGCAGTCACTGCTGGCAGGGGATAGAAGAGGGAATTAGTGGGTTTAACTGCTTCTTAAATGGCTTTCAAATAATCCTTTCTTTAGCCTTGGTCCTGCCCCATCTTCAGTTCCAGAGAAGCCTTGGATTACCAATTCCTAGGCCATTTGGAAATTCTGCAGTTTTTAAATTGAATTATGTCTTGGGTTTCCTATTCCTGGCTTTGAATTCAGCTTTCTCAGATCTGCTAAATCAGTTGCTACTTATCTATCATACTTTCCAGCTTCTACAATTTTCTTTCCATCATCCTTCCCTTCTCACCCTCCTTGTGAGTTTATGTCTCAAGTATCCACTTACTGTAGTTTTAGAGGGGTTCCAATGGGGGTCAAAACACATATGTGTTCAATTTCAGCCCGGAGAATTATAGTTCTTCATGCATTCTGTATACTAATCAGTTACACGTTGCAGATCGCTGAGCTTGTGGCTTTCATCTTCAATTTTCTTTATGATGTCTTTGATGAACAGAAGTTCTTAATTTAAACATAGTTGAATTTATTAATCTCTTCTTTTATGGCTGGTGCTTCTCGTGACTGAAGAAATCCATCCATACTCTCAGATAGTGGAGATAATGTTTTCTATTTTATTTTAAAAGCTGTATAGTTTTACTTTCCATACTTACCATATATGTGTGGGTTTACTTCTGATTTTTAATTTCATTAGTTAACTTATTCCTGTACTAATACAATGGTTTATGAATTTCTGCAGGGTTGCAACAAATCTTAACATCTTATTGGGCAAAAATCCCCTTCTAGTGAGTCTGGTGGCTCACTTCTGTAGCTGCAGCACTTATGGAGCTGAAGCAGGAGAAACACCACAAATTCCAGGGCAGGCTGGGGCACATAGTGAGTTAAGATCAACTCGGATGACATAGAAAGATCTTGTCTCAAACAAACAAGCCTTTCTTTTACAGGTGCATTTTTGGGCTTTTGCTCTTTTTTTTTTTTACCGGTACTAGAGGTCGAACTCAAGACCACACACTTGCAAGGCAGGTGCTTATGCCACTGAGCTAAATCCCCAGCCCCTCTTTTTCTTTCCTTTCTCTTTTCCCTCTTTTCCTTTTTCCCCCTTTCTTTCCCCTCTCATTCCTCCCCTTCCCTTCCCTTCTTCCTCCTCCTCCTCCTCCTCCTTCTGTTTGAAGCAGAGTCTCACTATATATAGTTCAGAGTGGTCCTGAACTCACTATGTAGCCCAGGCTGGTCTTGAACTGATAGTGATCCTCTTGCCTCAGTCTCCTGAGTGCTAGGATTACAGGTATGTGCCTGATTTTAGTTCTTCTTTATAAAGTTTAGAAACAGTTGCCAAATTCCTAAAAAAGTTGTTAAAATTTAAATTGTATTGAATATTTATGATAGTAAGTCACAAGCATGTTATATCTATTTATTCAAGTATTTTAGAAGATATTTAATAAAGTTTTATATTATCTATAGTTTTGCACACATTGATTTATTTCTACTTTTATTTTTTGTTGCTAGAATCTAGTGTATTTTAAATATCATACTCTCTAAATTTTGTTCTCTGTATAAGAAAATGTGATTGCTTTTTCATCCTATACTTAATCCAACTTTTAATTATTCTAAGAATTTATTCTATATGCAAAATTGAATCATTTATAATGATAGTTTTCTTTCTTTCTTCTTTCCTTCTTTTCAACTTTATAACTTTTTCCTTTTCCTGATATTCTGGCTATGCCTCCATTCTAATACTAAATAGATATCATGATAACAAAACATTTTGCTTTAATATCAATTAAAAAATTCTCAAGTCAGGCATAGAGTGGTGCGTACCTGTAATCTCAGCACTCAAGAGGCTGAGGCAGGAGGATAATTACAAGTTCAAGACCCGCCTGGGCTGCAAAGTACAGCAGGGCTCTGTCTCAAAAAGACACACACACAAAAACTCTCCTTATATAGTCCAGCCTGACTAATTGTTGGAATAATGTGGGCTATATTCTTTGGGTATATATATCCTTTATCAAGTTAAGAAAGTTTACTTCTACTTATGTTTTCTGAATTTTGTTTTTCTTTTCAATCATGAATGGTTATTGAATTTTAATAACTATACGTCTCTTTTCAAATAGCTTCACTGAGCTATAATTTATAAACAGTAAAATTGACTCCATTTAAACATACAGTTCAAGGGTTTTTAGTAAGTGTACAGAGCTGTTCAATTATCACCACAACCCAGTTTTAGGATGTTTCTCTCACCGTTGAAAGATCTCTCCTGCACGTTTAATTTCTGTCTATTTTGAAATGATTTTGTGGATTTCTCCTATGGGTTTGTTAATGTGATAAATGACAATTATTTTTCTAATGTTAAACCATTCTTTCACTTAAGGAATAAATACACCCTAACCATCATTAATTAGTTTTTATTCACTACTGACTACAGTTTTAATATTTTATTTAGAATTTTGATAGTTATTGATGTATAATTCTATTTATGCATAATTTTCTTTTCTTATAGTGTTCCTGATTAGTTTTACGCTAAAGTTGTACTGGCTTCACAGAATGAGTTGGGAATTATCCTCTTTTCCTGTCCTTTGGGAGTTTGAAAACCTTAAGCATTTGAAGGAATAAAATTTAACT